TAAACCAGTAGATTTCTGGACCACAGACTCTTTAACAGAAACCAGGAAAAATGTCTTTGCTGCAAAAAATAAAGGGACTGAATTTCTGAAACAGTATTTGTTCCTGCTTTGGCTAGTTTGGCATTAACAAAGGAAAACCTGTTTACTGTACCCTTTTGGGCAGCTTTCACTAGGTGATTTGGAGCTTGCAGGGAGGGGACTGCAGGCTGAAATCTGCCTCAGAATTTCAGAATTTTTCAGAATGTCCAGCCAGACAGATTAGCCAGCACTTAAACTGGTCAGAATACTAAAATAACATTTTAATGTAAATCTGTTTGGCCATGCAAAGAGATTTATTCTTCCCAGCTGGGCCATATTTCAGGGCACAATCTATATTGTCCTTTAATATGTTCTTCCTCAGACAGTTATTGCCCTTTAATTGCAACAGAATGACAAAGTGAAAACATAAAAAGCCTTGTGATTTTTTTCAAACACAGCTAATGCTAAAGTTTCAGAATGACTGTTTTGATTTTAAAAGCCACAGTACTATTAAAGCAGTTATCCAAAATATAGTGCTACTAGCCAGTATAAACCTTTAAATCAGTCAGGGATCAAATATATATAAATATACGTTTTTTAATTTAAGCCAGAAGCCAATTATGTAAGTGGGTCATTTGAAAAAAAGTTGACAAAAAAACATTTAAGGAAAGCTGCATACATATTCAATTTTGCCAACGTCAAAGCCAATGAGCATCATTAGCTCAGCAAGCCAGCTAATGAGGTCCAGGCAGAGCAAGCCTTATACAGGAATCTTTCAGAGAGCCATTCTGTAGCCCCTTCCCAAGTCCCAAGTCACTCTACTACAAATTTGGAACAGGTGAAGCCTTCATTGCAGGTGACTTGTTTTTTAATGTTGATGATGTCAGCCCATAAACTTCACTTATGCAAAAGAAGAGATGGCGTGAAATACGCGCTCGCTTGGCCGAGCAACCTAAGGAGCCGGACGGTGGCTGGGGAGGCAGGCGGCACTGCTCCCTTCCCTGCGGCACAGCTCCCCCACAGCCTTCCTTCCTTCCCCCAGAGCTCCCCCAGCACAAGCCCAGCGTATCACCAGCTGCTCCAGGCCCTCTGACTAAAGGCCAAGTTTACTGGGAAGGGCTCAGGATGACTCCTGTACACCAAGAGTAAACATCTTTGGCATATGAAATGCACTTGAACTCTGCTAATGCGTCTCTCTCACAAACAAAAAGAATCTGCATCTGAGAGGGGGTACTGAAGCAGTGACACCATGACCCAAGTACTTGCAGATCAAGTACTGAGTATCTCCTCAGCAGCAAGAATATACTCACTGCTTTTTCTGAGCAATTCATAACAGCAGAAAATTATTCCCTAACCATGCAAAGACATAAAAAGACTTTTAATGCAAACATCAGAGTTGCAAATCTTCACACCCTTCTGCTCAAATCTGCCCTTTACGTAGATATTTATGTTGTTGGGCATGATGCATCTTCTTCCTTCATGCATGTGATTAAGGACTTCCTTAGAGACTTATGATATGTTAGCTAAATGGTCACATATTTTAGGATACTCAAACATTAATACTTCTGAGATCTCAAATACATTTGACCTTCTCCAGTTCTGCTGAAAAGAAATCAGGTAACTGTAGGAAAATGAATCTATTCATTTCCCAGGAACGAAAAATTGATGATAGCAAAGAAGAGAAAAGCAAGGACACTCTGTTACATCATTTATTCACTTTCACAATCCCATTTAGTATTGTCTTTCCAATTACTGCTGTTCATAGAATTAACTCTTTGGATACCGATAGTCATATTGAGGAATATCTTGCCAAGAAATGAGTTACCTTTTTTTTTTAAGTACCACTAAATGTGAAATCAGATATGAGAAACTTACCCACACTTTTACTTTTTAAAAAACTGGGAATTGTGAAATGAGAAGATTTTATATGCCTAGGCTTAGGGAAGCACTCAATAGAAAAGATCTCCTTCTGCTATACTTTTCATGAATACATCTGGGTGATATAAAAATTATGGCTTGAAGAACTCCTGTGCAATCATATGTCTCTAAAGGCTGCTTCATCCTGTGTTGCAATTCCTCATCCCAAAATGACTAACCCCCTAATATGAATAGAGATTTTACTGTTTAATACAGCTCCACAAAACACATACTATTACCTTAGAAAAACAAACTCTGTTTTCAAATAATGGCAAGATGATAAAGGTGCATGGCGATGCACAAAACATTTAAAGGGCTGACAAGAGCCTGCCAGCATAAACAGCGTGAGATCAGGCTGTAGGCGCAGCCACAGCAGGCACTGCAAAGATGCTGAGCTCAGTGAGCTCTTGTGTTAGGTTTGTTTGATGCCACTTAGTTCAGGGAATGCAAGATCCTAAAATACTTTAAAACCAAAAGCTGGCACATAAAATGCATCATTGCCTTCATTTCACAGCTTTTCCACCCCTCAAAAAAAACCCAACAAAACAAGCAAGGCAAAACAGAGGGACGGACGGACGGACGGACGGACGGACGGAAGGAAGGAAGGAAGGAAGGAAGGAAAAGAAAGAATTACAGGTCTGTGAATAGGAATGCATGCAAACAATTCAAAGCCTGATTTGCATGCATGACTAAGATGCATTTTATTACTTATAAAAATGACAGCAACTGTCCCGACTACCAGAACTTGCACTGACAAGGCTGTGTCATGAGCTTTTGAATACAAACTAATAAAACCCTATCTAGCTCCAGTACTCTCTAAAATGGTGTCCTAGCTGAGCACTGGCCTACTTTTCTATGCCTCTTAGTGCTTCTGAGACCAGCATCACTGAGTTTCTTGTTTTCTCCTTGAATGACAGGAAGGTGAGGGTTTTAGCTTCAGGATGGCTGGGTTTTAAAGGGGGGGGGTGCTTTTTTGTCCAGCCTATTAAAATGTATGGGTACCCTTGCTGAAGCTCAGTCAGTATGCTAGAGTGATGTTAGCCATTTGTTTATGCCACAATGAGTAGGGAAAAATAATACCCTGAGGCACTGCAGTATTACTGCTAGGGCAGTGTGATTTTTGAGGCATTAGACTGAAGGCTGAGTAAGTTCTTTCAACCAAGTTATGCTGTAATCTTCCAGGAAATGCAATGTCTATTATGTCTTATTGCTATAATGAAATAATTATACCAAACTAATGAAAATGAGACGTACTTAATAATTCTCTGGGTAAATCCATGACATAGATATGACAGAACTGACAGTGCATCAGAAAGCTCCATTTGTGCCCATAATTTTCAGGTAATAATTGTAACAGTGCCATTTGTTCCACTACAGTTGGTCTTCTGTGGATGTTTTTAAAAGCAGCGCTAAATAATGAGCACATTTCCTCATTTAAGCCAAATATTTGAGCATGGTCATTTTTATGCTACACATTTTCACAGGAGTTACTGTCTCTCTATACTACTAACTATCTCTCAACAAGTAATTTTCTTGCTTTCACCCTGGTAAATATCTCACTGTATTTCAAGTGGGAAGTTTGTCAAAGTTAATATTGTTTAAGTGGGATCACATTTTTATATACTCCCCAGCTAAACAGAGAAAGTGCACATATTTAGCAACCTTTAAAACAAAAAAATGGTGGTTTGTAGCTCCTGTAACTCTTACTTAATAATTTCTAAAACTAGTAATTAATATTAATAATGCAGTGAATTCTTACTTTAGCTGCTGCGACATACAACCTTGTTTTATACATTACCATGTACCATTATGGATATTACTGGGAAATAAGCATTAATTTATATTGAATTAATTTCCATTTCCATTTCAATAGTACTTGATCAGAGCACTTTTCAAAAGTGCCAATATTTTTAAATCAGAAATTGAGAAATAATTATCATGGCCGACATTACATGAAATAATTATCAATCCTCCAGTTTTCAAGGAGGTGGCAGAAACACGTTCAGGGACTAATCTTTTAGCATGACCTGTTGTGACAGGACATGGGTTAATGGTCTTAAACTAACAGAGGGTAGATTTAGACCAGGAATGGTGAATAAATGTTGTACAGTGTGTGAAACACAGGAACACGATGCCTAGAGGTGTGGTACCATACTGGTCTCCATACCTGGGAACAGAACTCTGAGCAACCTGATCTAGCTGAAGATGTCCCAGCACACTGAATGGGGTTTGGACTAGATGAGCTTTAAAGGTCCCTTCCAACCCAAATTATTCTATGATTCTGTGAAATAAGACACACAAGTATCTAACTTGTTTGTAACTGCAGAAAAGCCAGGTATTTGCAGAATTTTTTCCGTCACCTAATAACTGCGGATACTTGCTCGAGACTTAAAAAGTGCCCATGGGGCCAAATGAGATCCACAGGGCTTAATATTACAGTGACAAAACCTAAACTAATGTAAATTGTTGTTATACTGCTGAGGTCTCAGCTTATGCTAACTCCTGATTCACATCATTAACTTCACACATCATAAGTAATTTGAATCACTGAACACAGTGGCTACCTCCAGACTTGCTTTCAGACATAAATCCCTGATCAGAAACTCACACAAAGTTTGTACTGCTGCATAGAGCCCTGTGCCATGCATATCTGTTTAGCAAGCCAGGACCACGAAAAAGTATAAAATTCAAGACCATGCTAACTAGTCTAGGTTTTACCCAAGAACTCTCCTAGCTACTGTATGGACATAGTAGGTACGTTTTGAGGAAAGGCATGTTCCACTACAGGCCCTTACCAGTAACCCTTGTACTGACAAAACTAAAAGCCTTTTACAGGCATAGAAGTACAATCAATTGTGGTTTATACAAACCAAGGAAAAAAGAGACAGACCTTTTGGAAATCAGAAACAATATTGAAAATATACTGGCAAGAAATCATTTTCAGATAAAAAATACATAAACCCATTCATATTCCTCTTAGTAGTTTGCTTATAATACACAAGACAGCATGCAAAATAAGGAACAATTATATTTAAAAGAATGAACAACTGAAAGTTTGAACTTACATATGACGTAATAATCTTTGTTCTTCTGAAATTCCAGGCCCCAGAGATTAGGACTGAACTCTTGAAACTTGATGGTAAACTTAACATCTTGATCTGGCTTGGCACAGTTAAGTAGAGGTGTATTGTCCTTTTTAATAGCACAGCTATCTGCTTGGTCTTTATCAACCATGTAGACCTTATAATATTCATATTGGCCAATAGTTTTAGAGTCCACCTTTGGGCATATAATATCCAGTTTGTCTCCAATTTGTGGATATAGTACCAATCCTTGTCCAGGAAGGAATCTAAAAGGAAGGAAAGAAAAAGGGGGAATGGGGGAAGAGAAGAAAGATAAAATTTTAGATATTTAATAAAATTGCATGCAGAAAAGTAGCAACTGCATGAACAGACAGGAATAAACAGTTTACAAAACCAAAATGACAGACTGAACAAACCAAATCTTAATAGCTTGGGCTTGATTCAATATCAACAAGATGTTTATTTAGATCTTGGAAATTACAGATGGATTGAGTCTTTTAGTCCTTATCCCAGTTTTGGGCACACTAGCAGATTTTACATCTCTCTCTGGCAGGCACTGCTGTTTTTTGCACTGCATTTAGCCATGCAGAGTGGCTAACACAATACCTGGTGAGCTATGATTCTGTTTTGCTAGTATTTCTACTATTCTTGCACATATTTTGCTAATTTTGAATATGGGAGAATGACAAAAATAATCTTTCAGTCCCCTTGAACAGCCATGTGGGACAGGAAAAAATGTAAGACTAACAATATATCAACATGCTGATAAACATTGTTATATTACTAGTGTAACACAAAGGAACATCAGACCAGACACTCAACCAGGACCATGTTTACAGATCTCTGCGATGGACAGAGATCTACCTGATCACACATGCTTCTAAGAAAAACACTTATATCCAGGACAGTGCGATCATTCCACTACAATGATTTCTCTTCACAAATTCCACCATTACTGTCATTATTTTAGCTCATTTTGGATTTCTTTTTTTTTGTGCTAGTAGGTAAAGACAGGTGTGCTTTTTTTCTTATTATGGGAAGACTTCTTACACAAACTGGCAGGGAGCTTTAATATTTGCAGTTAGACACAGTATTTTGTCTTTCCTACTCATATTAATTAACAGGCAAACATGACCACTTCTTCATGGAAGAAAAATACAAATAATTACTTATAGTATTGATTCATGCACAAAATAAGGAGTCGTGTTCTCACAAGGACAAAAGCCACAGCAGGTTTGTTTGTTTCTCTCTCCATTAAGACATATTTGTTTCAATTAAGGCCAAGAAGTGCATGTTTTAGAACAACAGCCAGAAACACAACCAATGTACTCGAATGCACAGACCTAAAAGACTTTCTTTCCTCTTTTTCCTGCCTGCCAGCATTTTCCAAAGATCTTCCTTAATGGAGAATCGGCCTGAAAAACCAAGTGAAACAATTCCTGTCTAATGAACACCCTTCTCCAAGTGCTAATATTTAAACAGCACACGTAGTAAATCTAGCTTATTCACAGGCAGCCTTCCTGGAAACTTTAAATTAGAGTATCAAGGCCCACGCAGAACAAAGCTGTAGGCGTCGGTGACCTCCAACCTCTGGCTTGGCAAAAGGAGCCACCAGCATGAAGTACTGGTGGGGGAGAACCCACTAAATTAAAGCATGATGCAACGCCCCAAATTTCAAATCCATCATTTACAACTGCTTGCTCCACACAATTCAAGTTTATGATCTGTGCTAATTGAAGCAGGATTATTTTCACTCACAATGCCAGTGTAAGAATTATATTTGTTATGAAGCAGCACGTAGCAGGACAAAGACGCGTAATTACAGATTTGGGGAACTAGAACAATGAAATGTTATGGCAAGAAAAGCGACTGTTGATGTATAAATCACTGCGCTCTTTTGTGCTGTGCAGTGTAATTTCCAGACTGCAGAAACTGGGCTTGGCCACGGCTGTTCAAACCGAGATTGAAGTGGAGACAGGGCAAAGCTGCGCCTCCTCCTCCAGTTTTCAGACATGCCAAAGGAATGCAGCGACTACTGCCTCCGGAAAGCTGAAATGGCCAAACAAATGGGAAGGTGGGAATGCATCCTCGGAGTTACCAGCCCGCTGAAGATCAACCAGAAGCGTGTGTAGACATGGCACCTAGGGATGTGGTTTAGTGGTGAACACAGCAGTGCTGGGTCAACAGCTCGACTTGATGGTCTTACAAGTCCATTCCAACCTGAACAATTCTATGATCCTATAACTGAGGAGGATCCCAGCCAGCAAATTCCCAAGGGAGCAGCATGTAGTCTGATTTTGGCTCTCCTCAGGGATCAACTCTGACCAGGCAAAAACAAAGGGACAGAGTTTCCAAGCCAACCTGCGTCACCTGTGACTGATTTTACCACCTTCTCCGACCACAGCCCCATTTTAGCTTTGCTCCTGTGCAGCACTGCTGCATCAGGAAGATGACAATCACTCATATTCCCCCATCTGCATGCCAGGACAAAGGCTGGTCACTGTATGATCCCACTGCTGCAAATACTTCTTCTTGACAGCAATTCTTCTTCACATAACAGGACTGTGTAATAGGAAACCTGAGATTTCAAAGAACTGAATCTTTGCTTGTAAGTTAATCAAGTTAGATTCCCATACATAAAAAATATGAAATTCTTAAGGTTAGATAAATGTACCTGTCCATCATTATCAATAATATAAGCTAAAATCTGCCCTAAGAAACAAAAGACACTGATTCTAATTTTAGACTTTGTGTGTATACATGTAGCAGCCACAGTATATGTTCTCCATGCAAACTCTGAGCACAAACAGGATGGGTTGAGAGATGGTATGCCAGGCAATCCTCAGAAACATCTACAGGAAAGAGGGCACACTTGTGAGCCTTAGTTTCAGCCAGGAATTGTCCCATAAAAGGTAGAGGACAGAACTGTCCCCAACAGAGAGTTAAAACTACATTTTACAAGAGCTTTAAATGCATGCACTTGTTAGAATTTATGGCAGGGAATATTCTTGCTATGACTCTGAAGTCTGTACAGTTTTAGAACTAAACTCAGTAAATCTTCTGCTTGAGTGTCTGAACTTGTAGGATCTAACGCTGATGGGATTAGGGAAGAAAAAAGGCTTAAAATGCAAGGATTAATCTGAGAATTTGATTGTATTGAAATTTTTCCACACTTTGCAGTTTTGATCATGACCTTTGCTAGGAGAGATATTTTTCCAATTTACTTTCCTTATTTTCTTACAACAACAAAGCCCAAATATGGATGGAGTTAATAAAAAAGTTTCACCTCATGCATTTCAGTTCAGCCACAAAACTTACAGTGGCTGATTAGTCGTAGGCATGATTATTATCCCTGCATTTGTGTAGTACTTTTGCTACTGTACTTTTTATAAAGACTTTAAATCATTTGCTGGGTACTAAGCATTTTCTGAAGCTATTTATGAAATGTCAGGAGGATTAAGACTACTGTTTTATGATCCTATTTTTGAAGACCTTCTATGAGAAAAAAAAAAAGAAAAAAGAAAAAAGAAAGGACAATGTATATTCAGACTTGGTGAAGGTTAAAAAGCATCAGGATTAATCCTGAGTCTTCATTTCTTCAACACCAGCAAGTGTTGATGTTGTCTTAAGTATTCCAAAGTAGCATCAAGACTGATGAAATGTTTGCAGGATGGTGTCTATAAAAATTAAGTTAACAAAATGGCCTTAAAAGTCTGATCAAAATGTGCCTTCAACTAATTAGAAAGCTTTTTTTTTCTCCATGTCAAAACAAAGATATAATACAGATGAAGCAAGGTGTTTCCAGAATCCTGGGACTGATCCTGTGGAGGCTGTTACTTCAGTGATGGCTTGGGACAGTGACATGCTCTCCAAGTAGTCAGGACAGTGACAGCACTGGAACCATTGCTTTCTATAAAAAGCTTCTAACTTTCTGAATTTCAGCTCTAAGTATGATTTACTGTAGAACTTAAATACCAACACAGGCCCCTGGACCCCAACAAAAACCTAAGAGAAAAGCTTAGCAAGCTTCCCAACTCATTTCTGTCAGCAGTCAGATACAGAGAGACTCTTGGAGCATTTGAAAAATCCTGCTCACAATAAACAATCCTGGTGCCTGCTGTGAGAAAGCACAGAAAAGTATATTAAGTACCATATAAGCTGTATGATGAAATTCATGCACTTTCTGTCTGGCACTTTTCAATACAGATGGCATTTTTACTGTCAGCCCTAAACTGGTGCATTGTGGGCGACATTTGACATCTGTGCAAAAGCCCATGGATGTGAATCCCTCCCACATGTCCAACTAGTCATGCAGCTCATCAAATAACACCACCTTGCAGAGTTCCCAAACCTTTTTTAAAGTAATTACTGCACTTGACCAAAAAGTCACAGCGACACAGAAAGAAATTAGGAACAGAGTGGTTCATTCCCTGCTCACACCAACACTTCAATGATTTTATCTACCACACTTGAGTCTCAGCAGCAGTTTCTGGCAATAATGCAACCTTACTTGTCAAAGTCTTCAAGAAGTTAAATTTGATTGTGAAATTTTATATATATTTTTTTTAAAAGTATATTAGTTTCTGAAGAATTTCTTAAGAATTGACTTATTGTTTAGAGAAACTTAGCACATTCAACCATATTAATTACAAAGGAATTTTGCTTAATGATAACCACTCAAACTTGCCTAACCTCATAATAGGAAACTCTCTCTCATAAAAAAGTAGAACTTAACCTGCCCACACTCATTCATTGAGAATATTCTATCATTTCTTAGTATAAGAAAATTTCAGAAAATTCTGAAATTGTAAAATTACCTGCAGAAAAAATTCTTAGAGAAATAAATTCTTAAGAGATTTTGTTAATCAGTATTGAGTGATGTAACCCTATATTTTGTCAGTGTTTTTCCAACTTGTGAAACTGGACACATACATATATGTACATATACTATAAATATATATGCACACTTAGCTTTAACTATATTCTAGTAATTATAAAATAAATATGATTTTAGAAAGCATGTTAGTACTTGATGCAAGGCTTGTATATTTAACTGGAGAGGCAGTGCCAAATTTCTGTGCTTTAATAACTTACCCGAACTAATTGGTGTAGGCAGTTAGCTTTAAATTAATGTCACTAAAATAATCCTAAAAATGTGAACAATCAAGACGCTTCTTAAAATGCAGCCTGAAACCTACTGTTGGGGAATCCTACCCACTTAACTTTATGAAGTTTTAACTACGAGCCTGACTCTAAAGTTATTAACTGAAAAGTTTATTAAGGAAATATCATGAATACTAATAACACAGTATGTTAGTCCGTTACTTATAAAACTGCAAACTGAAACAGAATACAGAATTACATTCTACATCAAGTCCTTACTGTCTAAAGAATGTTTTTTAATTAGTATATGTATTAATCATCTGACTTCTGAGAAAACAACAACATTCATATTTCAAATATCACTTAGTCCACAGGAGAGATATTTAAGCAAGGCAAAAGTCCTACCAGCTTGATGCAAGCAAAGAGAATTTTCAGGAAAAGGCTAGTGATTTCAGTGAAGTAGCAGAAAAACAGTTTCCTGTTTCCCATAAATACTGCACTGCATAAAATCCGAAACCAAAGATCAGAGCTCTCTGCAAAAGCTCTACACAAAGCTCTGTCATATTTAATACCATGTACAAAAAGATGCACGTGCATATAAGGTATACACCTGGCTGTAAATGCTTTTTGTGCAGAAGCAGTGATTTTACAGGACTCATCTCTCTCGACTTTAAAAAGATTAAGTGAACATGAATTCAATGAGAATATGATCAGTAACTGCTGTGGACAGACAGAAAAACAGGCTTCATCAAAAAAAGATTAATGTGCAGTCTCTCTTAAAATGTGTACATAATTTTATGAGGAAGAAAGGCACTATACTTCTGCAAAATCTCTGCAAGAAAAAAATACCATAGTGTGACACAGCAAGATGACAGGCCGGCTTTATACACAGACTAGTAAATGAAACTTTGAGAGCAAAAAACGCATAGCATTTCATATTATTAGAATTCTTTTAAGTGAGTTTTGGAAGCTACTTTTCTTTACCAGTGCAGTCTTATTAAATCATTTCAATACTACAGGAAAGTTTTACACAACATGCTAAACAGGGATGCTTTTGAATTTAAATAAAATTGAAGAAGTTTAATCTGCAAACCTTTATTTATATGTAACATTTTTCCATGCAGTTAATGAAACAATTTATGTAAGGAATAGCTGCTGGCGTTAATGGGACTTGCAGGCTAGAAACTAAAAGGAATTCAAACAAATAAATAAACAAATATATTCACGCTCATCCCTTAAGATCTTTAATGGCAAGTACC